AAATATCATTAAATCAGCATTTGTAGTGGCAACATTGTTTACCTATCCAAAAATATCATTAAAATTTTTGCTTTTTCAGAAACTTAAATTAAGTTTTAAACTTTTAAATTAATTTCTATATCTAAAATAGTTAATCCAAATAAATTATATATCTTTGGAGATCAATTTACTGTTTATAGTATTTTAAAAAAATCAAAAATATTTAGTGATATTTTGGATGATTAAATTAATAGTAGTATTTTTAGTAACAAAATTTGATACTCCTAAAGAATTTCTCATCTAAAAATTATTTTAATTGAAGGAAAAAGGTTTACGAATTTCAAGAATAAATATATACAAGGATTATATCCGGTGATATGCACCGGTAAGTTTACCATTATCATTTGATTAAATTAATAATATTAAAAACAATAAAATTGAGAGCAATTTGTTCTATTTTTTTTTATTAGTTTTAAATCTTCTATAAAAACATCAATTTTTATATTAATTATGATATAAAAAGATGAATTGTGTTTTGATAAAATTACTTAGGTACAGTTTTTTAATTTATGATTTGTGCTGATAGATAGAGTACGTTAAAATACATTGAAAAACTATTAGATATTTTTATTCTCTAGTCGTCTAACAATCTCTTATACTGTTATACATTAAACGTATAAATCTACTGAACAATGCTACATTTAAATATTATCAGAACCAACAACATTGAAATATAATAAGAATATAAATGAACTCCAAAATAAAAGTTGGGTTAATTAGCTTAATATTATGTTTTGAACAAGAAATTAAGAAACTAACATGTCAATAAAAGAATTTAGGTGAATAGCATAGAGAAAAAATAGTTGGACAAATTTGCCTATATTAAATTTAGTAATTATTGCTGGTAATAAAGATCCATAAAAATCAGTGGTGGAGAATATGGAAAGCAGGGTTGGCGGTGGATCTCAAAAAGGAAGGCGAAATACGTATAGTTTACTATATTCGATTTTTTTTATGTTGTTATAGTTAGCTATAATTCTAATATCGTAGTTAACTATTTGTTTCAGATGGGAAAATAGACTATGATTGTTGTAATATGGGTTGTTTTGGAGACTGATGTTCAAGATTTCAAACCGAAGTAGGACGAGTTGTTCAAATGTGGTTATTGTGTCCGTAGACGGTATGTTAGGTATGTCATGA